TGGGGTCACGGGGTGTATGGGGTGGTGTGGGGGTGTAGGGAGATGTGGGGTGGTGTGGGGGTATGGGGTGGATGGGCGTATGGGGTGGTGTGGGGTGATGTGGGGTCATGGGGTGGTGTAGGGTGGTATGGGGTCACAGGGTGTAAGGGATGATGTGGGGGTGTAGGGAGATGTGGGGTGGTGTGGGGGTGTGAGGTGGTGTGGGATTATGGGGTGGATGGGTGGTTGTGGGGTGGATGGGGTGGTGTAGGGGTGTGGGGTGATGTGGTGTGGGGGTATGGGGTGGATGGGTGGATATGGGGTGTATGGGGTGTATGGGGTGGTGTGGGGTGATGTGGGGACTCAGGATGTGGGGAAACACGTGGGGTGGCACAGAGATGTGGGGCAGCACAGGGATGTGGGGCACACAGGAGGTGACATGGGGACCTGGGACGTGTGGGGCGACATGTGGGGCAGCACTGGGACCTGGGTGGCACTGGTTGCCACATGGGGTGGCACTGGGATGTGGGGCACAAAGGAGGTGACGTGGGGACCTGGGACGTGTGGGGCAGCGTGTGGGGCGGCACTGGGACCTGGGTTGCCCCGTGGGGCGGCCCGCGGGCACAGCGACCCACACGTTGCCCCCCCGCCGCCCCCAGGCCGTGGGCATCTCGGTGGAGTTCGTGTCCCACCTGACGGTCGCCTTCGCGCAGAGCCGCCGTCCCAGCCGCGTGGAGCGCGCGGCCGAGGCCACCATCAACATGGGCAGCAAGGTGGGGGCGCCCGTGGGGCGCGGCGGCTCCCGTGGGGCGCGGGGACGCGTGGGGGCACCGGCAGCCGGAGCCGCAGCCTCACCCGCTCGCCCCCGCCGCAGGTGGTGGCCGGGGTGGCCATGACCAACCTGCCGGGCATCGTGGTTCTGGCCTTCGCCAAAGCGCAGCTCATCCAGATCTTCTTCTTCCGCCTCAACTTCATCATCACCCTGGTGGGCCTCGCCCACGGCCTCGCCTTCCTGCCCGTGCTGCTCAGCTACATCGGTTCGGCCCCAAAGGCCCCCGGACCCCCCCCGTGCCGCCGGCTGGGGCTGACCGCGCACCGCTGTCACCGCAGGTCCCGCACCGCTGGGCGCCGAGGGCGACAAAGCTGACATGGAAGGCAGCAGATTCGGCACGGAGGGCGGCAGATTCGGCACGGAGGGCGGCAAATTCGGCACGGAGGGCTGCAGATTCGGCACGGAGGGCGGCAAATTCGGCACGGAGGGCGGCAGATTCGGCACGGAGGGCGGCAAATTCGGCACGGAGGGCGGCAGATTCGGCACGGAGAGCAGCACATTCGGCACGGAGGGCGGCAAATTCGGCACGGAGGGCGGCAGATTCGGCACGGAGGGCACCGAGGCCGGCACGGCGCGGGGCGCAGCGATGGCCAACCCCGGCTTTGAGGACGCGGCGCAGTGCTGACGACGCCGCTGCCCCCGCGGCCCTTTTCTGTGCCGCCGTATTTAAAGTGGTTTCCTCAGAGGTGCCGGGTTTTGTGGTTTGCGGTGGGTTTGAAGGGGTTTGGAGGCAGCGGGGGGATGAGGTGGGGGGGGGGGGGGCACACGCGGCTGGGCACCGTGAGGACAGGGATAACAGGCAGCTGGGGCACCGTGCTGGGATGGAGAGCTTGGGGACAGGAACATGGGGGGCACACGGACACCTTGGGGACAGGAGCATCTGGGACACATGGATGGACATCCTGGGATGGGGACACACGGACACCTTGGGGACAGGATGACATGGGACACGTGGGCATCGTGGGGACAGGGACATGTGGGACACATGGATGGACGTCCTGCGGACAGGGACACACGGACATTGTGGGGACAAAACTGCGTGGGACCCATAGAGGGACATCGTGGGGACAGGGCCATGGGGGACACGGACATGTGGGGCACATGGACACCTTGGGGACAGGACTGCGTCGACACGTGGATGGATGTCTTGGGGACAGGGACACACGGGACACACGGACACCTTGGGGACAAAGCTGTGGGACACACGGACAGACATCTTGGGATGGGGCCATGTGGGGCATGAGGATGGGCATCTTGGGGACAGGGACACACGGACACCCTGGGGACAAGGCAAAGCGGGACCCATAGGGGGACATGGTGGGGACAGGGACACGGCGTCAGCTGTGGGGGGGACGGGATGCCATGAGATCCCATGGGGCGCGTGGGGACCCCACAGCGCTGAGACCCCGAAGGGCACAGAGGGGGATGGGTCCTATGGGGTGAAGAGCCCACGGGGCAACGGGATGGGACCCCATGGGAGCAGGACCCCAAAGGACATTTGGGGACAGTGGGGTGGGCCTTATGGGATGGAGACCCCACAGGGCACAACGGGGACAGACCCCATAGGATTGAGACCCCAAGGGGCATATGGGAATGGTGGGGTGGGTCCCTATGGGATGGAGACCCCAAAGGGCAGAATGGGAACAGACCCCATAGGATCAAGACCCCACAGGACATATGGGAACGGTGGGGGTGGGTCCCTATGGGATCAGGACCCCAAAGGACACATGGGGACGGTGGGGTGGGTCCCTATGGGATGGAGACCCCAACCAACTCCATGGGATCAGTGCATATGGGATGAAGAACCCGTATAGGGGGGCATAGGGCATATGGGAACAGGGGGATGGGATGCCATAGGATGAAGACCCCAGAGGACATATGGGAACGGTGGGGACGGGTTCCTATGGGATCAGGACCCCAAAGGACAGAATGGGAACAGACCCTATGGGATCGAGACCCCACAGGACATATGGGAATGGTGGGGGTGGGCCTCATGGAATCAAGACCCCACAGGGCACAACGGGGACAGAACCCCATAGGATCAAGACCCCAAGGGGCACATGGGAACGGTGGGGTGGTTCCCTATGGGATTGAGACCCCAACTGACTCAATGGGGTCAGGTCCAAATGGGATGAAGAATCCATATAGGGCAGCATACGGGAACAGTGCGGATGGGACCCCATGGGATGAAGACCCCAAAGGACACATGGGAACAGTGGGGTGGGTCCCTATGGGATGGAGACCCCAACCAACTCCATGGGGTCGGGTCCATATGGGCTGCAGACCCCCTACAGGGGGCACAGGGCACACGGGAACGGTGGGGGGCGGCTCCCCATGGGTTGAAGACCCCGCGGGGCACAACGGGCTCAGAGCCCCTGCAGGGCACACGGCGCACGGGCAGCAGCGCCCACCCACAGCCCCCATGGCCGCGGGGCGGGCCGGGAGCCCCTGCAGCCCTGCAGCCCGCATCCCGGACCCCGCACCCTGCAGCCCGGACCCTGCAGCCCCGCACCCCGCACCCACCCCGCACCCCGCATCCTGCATCCCCGCACCCACCCCGGACCCCGGACCCTGCAGTCCCACACCCTGCACCCCGCAGCCCCGCACCCTGCACCCCGCAGCCCCGCACCCTGCACCCCGCACCCTGCATCCCATACCCTGCATCCCGGACCCCGCACCCTGCACCCACCCTGCACCCCGGACCCCACAGCCCCACATCCCACAGCCCCGCACCCTGCACCCCGGACTCCGCAGCCCCGCACCCCGCACCTTGCCCCCACCCCGCATCCCGCAGCCCCACGCCCTGCATCCCGGACCCCGCACCCCACACCCTGCATCCTGCATCCCGCACCCCGGACCCCGCAGCCCCACATCCCGCACCCCCGCATCCTGCACTCCGCACCCCGCAGCCCCGCACTCTACACCCCTCCCCCTCGCCCCCCTCCCCTCCCCCAATCACGGAGCGGAGGCGGCGGCGGTGCGGGGCCGTTTATGCTACAGGAACTTGTAGCAGGGCGCTGCGGACACGGTCTGCACGTGGATGCGCACGGGGCACTTGTAGAAATGCGCCAGCAGCGCCTCGGCGTAACCCAGCAGGAAGCAGAGCTTGGCGGGCGGCAGGCGGCGCAGCAGCAGCGGGCAGAGCAGCAGCGCGTTGGCGCGGCGCTTCACCACCACCTCGTCGGCCAGGCAGCCTGGAAACGTCCCGCGCAGGAAGCGCCGCACGAACGCGTCCTCCACCGCCCGCTCCGCCGCGCCCGCCTCCCCGTCCAGGTTCCCTGCGGGGCGGACGGCGGTCGGGAAGGGCCGGGGCCGCTCGGCCGCCCCCCTCCCCGAGCTCCGGGGCTCCGCGTACCGGTGTGCAGCGACAGCCAGCCCTTGCGGTGCGCGATGTAATGCGGCGGGTGGGCGCGCTCGTACGTGACGCCTTTGTCGCCTTTCCCCACGCGGACCCGAGCCGCCCGCGTCTGCAGGGGGGAAGCGAGGGGGTCGGGGAGGGGGGGGACCCCCGTTGGAAGGGGGTTAAAGGGGGCGAGGGGGGGTCGGGGCTCACCTTGAGCAGGGGCGGCGTGGAGTGGAGGCCGCGAGCGGCGGGGAGCGCCGGGATGCCGGGCAGCGCCTGGGGGGGAGGCAGCGCTGGGCCGGCGGCGCCCTTCGTGTCCCTGGGCCGCCGGCTGCAAGGAGCCCCGCGTGGTGCCCGCAGCCCAGGCTCCGCTCCGTCCATCGCATCACCTCCCAGTGCCACCATCAGCCATGTCCCAAAGGGTCCCCACACCCCACATCCCAGTGCCACCACTCCTAGATCCCAACCTATGGTGTCCCCACACCCCACGTCCCAGTGTCACCAACAGTGCCCCACAAGTGTCCCAGTGCCCCACATCGCACTGCCACCACCATCGCTGTCCCCATGGTGTCCCCACATCCTACAACCCCCAACCACGGTGTGTCCCCACACCCCACGTCCCAGTGCCACCATCATCCACGTCCCCACAAGTGTCCCCAAACCCCACATCCCAGTGCCACCATCATTCATGTCCCCAAAGTGTCCCCACACCCCACATCCTCCGACCCCACCCACACTGTCCCCACACCCCACATCCCAGTGTCACCAACAGTGCCCCACAAGTGTCCCCATGCCAACACATCCCACTGCCACCACCATCGCTGTCCCCATGGTGTCCCCACACCCCACCTCCAGTGCCACCACCCCGTGTCCCCAAAGTGTCCCCACACCCCACGGCCTCTGATTCCACCCACGCTGTCCCCGCACCCCACGTCCCAGTGCCCCCATCCAGGGTCCCCCCAAAGCCCCCCCCCCCCCGTGCCACCACCCTCACTGTCCCCTCCCTGTCCCCACACCCCCCGCTCTCCGTCCCCCGCTGTCCCCACCCCGAGAGCCCGCAAGGCCGTGGGCGCCGCCATCTTGGCTCGGGGGGCGGGATTTCCGGCGGAAGCGGAAGCGCCCCCTTGCGGCTGGGAGGAGCGAACGCTCCTTGTAGGGCGCCCCCGTGTGGGGAGTCCGCGTATAGGATCCGCGCGGACGGCCCTACTGGGGGTGAGCCCACATGAGATCCCCGTGCGACGTCCCTGCATGGGATGTGTCCCCATGTGGGGAGTCCCCGTGTGATGCCCCCATGTGAACGGCCCTATATGGGGTGTCCCCATGTGATGTCCCCATGGCCCCATATTCCATACCCTATATCCCACACCCCACATCCCATACCCCACACCCAATACCCCACACCCCATCCCCCTTTCCCCACACCTCATACCCATATCCCATATCCCATACTCTTCACCCTATTCCCCACACCCCATATCCCATACCCCACACCCCCATACCCCATACCCTATACCCCACACTCCATACCCCATTCCCCATACCCCCCACCCCACACCCCCATACCCCATACCCTATACCCTATACCCCACACCCCATACCCCATTCCCCACACCCCACACCCCACACCCCACACCCCACTCCCCACACTCCATACCCCATACCCCA